ACATCTACCCTCTAACACTACATTTAGACAGGGTTCTACTGGAGCGCTACTACAAGGTTCCACGTACAGACCATGAAGGAACAGACTGGAGGCAGAGATGGAGCTTTTCTTGACTTACTGCAGAGATGTTTTGTGGCTCTCAGAAAAGTAAAGTGAAATAGTTTGTCTTCTTTTGTTAGAATTTTATTGATCACGGTTTATAGCTCATTAAAATCATAAGTCCAGTACCTCAAAATATTTGAATACTTCATTTGTGTGTAAATTAGTATTCAGACAGTATAACACTGTTGATCTGTGGGTTATCTGTTTATCTTTATCTAGTTCAGTAATGAACCCCAGTCATGCCGAAGGCTGCTGACCTGAAGGTTGTCCAGATGATGATCATCAACACCTTCAACAGGGAGCCTCAGAAGGTCTCTGCTGAAAAGGCTGTTGGCAGATTATTGTATTCTATATAATGAAAGCTGACTGAAGGTAAAAGTGAAACAGGAAACAGTGAACAAGCAGCAGAGATGATCAGCAATGTAGCAAAGATGTTCATTTTGTCTTCAGTACGTAATAGACTGAAGGATTTCTTTTTAATAAGACAAATGGTGTAGAGGTGTTAGCTGTACCGTGACATGTTTCGGCGTCTTCCTGTCGCCTTCTTCAGAAGAGTCATCTGATGTGTGTGACGTGTCTTTATCAGCTGTTGTTCCTGGGTGTGGCCAATCTGACAGATCCAGTGGGCGTGTCAGTTTGGCCACACCTGCCGCCGCACGGTGGCCTCTGGAGCAGCACGTCCCAGGTGTGGGATAGGAGGAACGCTCCATCATCTCTGTTGATCGTATGTGCGCCTCGCTTCCTGATTTCAGTAGCCTCTCGGATCAACAGCTGATAAAGACACGTCACACACATCAGATGACGCTTCTGAAGAAGGCGACAGGAAGACGCCGAAACATGTCAAGGTACAGCTAACACCTCTACACCATTTGTCTTATTAAAAAGAAATCCTTCAGTCTAAGAGATGATCAGCTTTCAGGGGACTGTAGAGAGAAGATGGTTCCAGAACCCCGGAGAACTTCACAGGACTGAGGCTGGAGTCAGAACATCCAGAACCACCCGACGTCTCCAGGAAAGGAGCTACAAGTGTCACATTCATGATATCAAGACACTCCAGAACCAGAGACAGTCAGAACATCTTAGCTGGGTAAATTCTGCTTTTCATCTGGCGATCAAGGTCCAGAGTCTGGATGAAGAGTGGAGAGGCTCAGAATCCAAAGAGTTTGAAGTCCAGTGTGAAGGTTCCTCAGTCGGAGATGATTTCTGGTGTCTTGGCATCAGCTGGTTATGGTCCTCTGAGTTCTATCAGGTCCAAAGTCAGCATGTTACTGTGCTTAATGGAACCCCAGAGAACTCCGTAAAACCCCAAAATACAGCCGAGCTGAAGGCGGCCATCAGACCAAGCACAGCTTCATCTACTGTCAGCAGAACTTCAGGCTGATCTCCTCCATGACTCACTGATGCAGGAACTCGTGGTACTAAATGATGGAGAGACAAGTTCAACATCTCTGTGTTGGAAATCCTTTTTGGTTGATCGTAGGAAATATTCTAATAATTTGAGATTTTGGGTTTGTATGAGCCATAAACCATAATCATCTAAGTCGCATGTAACAAATATAGAATATATGAAAAGTTGACATTTCTGAAATAAATGACTAAAAATAATCATGCTGTTCTATTTTTTGGAGCTGCTTTACTGCTGTACTCAGGTGGTTTGATTAGGATCTGCACCAGCAAACACTAAATATTAAGCATAGACTGTACAAAAGATGGACGTAGCAACCGGCCCTGGAAAATGAATCCAACCCGAAGTGTCAAAAACCTGCAGCATCACTACGTCCA